TCATGAACGTAAATATTGGCATACAGCGATGGCAGTGGTACCATTGGAAAGAGCAGAATTCCAGCTTTCAGATGAGCACAGGGAAAACGCCAAAATTGAAAATTTTAGGGTAGCCGGTCCCCTTAAGTTAGCATCAGTGCGTTAACATTGTGTGCATTTGAGGCGGTCCCTTCTAGCTTTCTATCGCTGATTGGATTCCAGTGGCTGTGACGTTGCACACGTTCTAGCAATGATTGGATCCCTGTGACAGTACATTGGACGCTTCAAGCATTGATTGGATTCTTGTGACTGTTACGTTGGACGTGTTCACGTGTTGATTGGATTCTTGTTACTGTGATGATGCAAGCGCTGTTTTTTTCAATGAAACAGCTGTGGCATCTTGCAGAGACTCATCAGTGATGATGATGGACTGAAAGTGGAAGTGTGCTGGACGTTCTAGATTTTTGGGTCCTGCTTTTTGATTTGCTATGTTTACCAGTTAATATATTACCCCTCTGGAGTTCCACACTGCCCCCAGGAACCTCCTCCTGGAGTGGGACTCTCTGCCCTGGTGTGGGGCTCTCTGCCCTGGAGTGGGACTCTCTGTCCTGGTGTGGGACTCTCTGCCCTGGAGTGGGGCTCTCTGCCCTGGTGTGGGACTCTCTGCCCTGGAGTGGGGCTCTCTGCCCTGGAGTGGGACTCTGCCCTGGAGTGGGGCCCTCTGCCCTGGCGTGGGACTCTCCACCCCGGTGTGGTCTCCACTTTGGTGGCCCCATTCTGTAGTCATTCAGCCTTCAAGAAACATTGGACAAATCTTCAGATTACCTAAATTCCTAGCTGAAAATAATGTTCCTTAAATTTTTCAAACTGTCCTGTCATGGAGCTGCATTGAACTAGTCTTCACTCTTCAGAGGCTCCCATAAACTTTGATTAAAGAAGAAGGGAGCGCAGCCGTGCACCACCAATTTTGTGCACCAATGAGCACTGAATTGAACTTCTTGGATCTCTCCGGTCATCCACCAATCAGCCGTGAACCACTCTGCTTTGTCCTCTTGCGGCTTTGCATAAAACCTGCCGTGCACCACCAGGCCATGGATCGAATATGACTTCCGGGCATCGTTAAATTACGTAATTTTACGTTCATCGCATCTGAGGTTACGTTTCAGATAGCATACTATTTTAAACTAAACTTGTAAAAACTAAACTTGTATTTGTGTAACTTGTGATTAGAAGAAAATACATGCATAATGTCAGTGTCAGAGTCTGACATGCCTAGTGCTAGGGCCAGTGCTAGACTGCTTACTGGCCACTGCTAGTGCTGATGATGAGAATATTATCCTGGAACTAGCAACCAAGATACTGCAGGGCTGGGCTGGGCTGTACCACTGGCCCTATGCTGGGTCTTCCCCTCTCCTGCAGGCTGCAATCATGACTCCAAGACCAAGTCAGGGTATAGTTATTCTGGCACCCATACTCATAGGCCAGACATCTGACCAACCCAAGGGGTCCCAAGTTAGGAATTTGAAATTTTGAATAATTTGATTTTAAATCAAAGACAAATAGTCACCTAAAATTATTTTATTTCAGATATAGTTGACTTCATACAAATAATATAAAATTTAATTGTTTTTGAGATTTCATATTTAGAATGAAGTAAAACTTTACAAGTGTCAATTTCAAATTACCTACCAAAAATGGAAAAGTCATCATTTTCTCTGAGTCAGCTGAGCAATACAATGCAATGTAAACAGGGTGCAGAGTTTGGTAAATGCATTGACAATTTTTGCATTTGTAATCCACAAACATTGCTGACAGTACCCAAGATGTGTTGCTGGCAGTCTTCAAGATGTGTTGCCTGCAGTCTTCTAGATGTGTTGCCAGCAGTCTTCTAGATGTGTTGCAAACATAATTTTTATCAAAATTCTTGCAAAACCAACTTTTTTGAGCGCATCTTTTATACCACAGGACCAGGTATTGCAGCCAGGGTGCAGAAAGTGAACAAATATATGAAGATATTCAGTGATGCATCAGCAGCAAAATTTATGTCTCCACAAGTCTCTGCCAAATCATTTACCTTGTAAATAATAATTTTTAAACACTCCCATATCTCTTGGCTAATGCTCAGTGATTGGCTGAGACATACGCGCATTACATTTGACATGGCAGATGCACAATGATAGGCACAAACATACTCAAATTACGATCAGTGTGGCGGATGCACGATGATCAGCACAGGTATGCGCATTGCAGTCAACATGGTTGATGTGCAATGATTGGCACAGGCATATGTACATTACAATCAATATGGCCAATGCACAATGATCAGCACAGAGGTATGCGCATTGCAGTCATATGGTCCATGTGCAATGATCAGTACAGACCTATGTGCATTATGATTGATACGGCCAAAGTGTGATGATTGGCACAAAAATACGCTGCATACACGCATATGGGTGATGCCTATCCTTGCGTGTTTTGCTTTGGTTGACATTACAAGCAATCAAAACAAAAAGTAGATATAAATAGTTGCAGCATTGCAGGTGATGATGGCTGAATAATGCTGACAATGCATCCTAAATACTGGTGGCCATGTTTGGGCTTAATAACCATATTGTTGTAAGGCATTTGCCTAGTGCAAATCTTGGTGATGCATTCAAAGGTGCCCTATTATTGGTATCTACGGTACCGTATCTTTGGAATTCATCATGCACCTATGTTAACAATAAGGTAGCAGTAGTGATCATATCTTCTAGCAGTCATATTTTGTGACTCCAAAAATTGGCAGGAAAATCTTTAGTAACAGCCAAAAGGTAGATATATTCTATGCCATTTGCCAGGTATTGGGAATTTATATTGTTCTCCCTTGTTTTACTTAAATTCATCCCTCCATGCAACCATCAAACGGGGTAATAAGGGATGAATTTTAGTGTTTTTCGTTAATTACCGCTTACCATGAAACATTTCATAAACAAGTTTGGGCTCATTTTAAAGCTCTTTGCAGGGGCTATCGAATGGCATCTCTAAAAAAATTCCATATGCTATTCATAAGGTGCCAGACGCAAAATAAAAGCGTCCCAAATTACTTCTGGGAATGGAGTAATCCGAGACACTTGAAATAAAACTCAATTTTAAAACGCTTGATGCATGTAAAGTATATTCATCTATTACTAACAGTACTCTTAAGTGATCCTCTTCCTTTGTAGGTGATGTAGATGTAGAATAAATGACATTTTCTGTGATTTTTACTCATTTTTCCGTTTTCGTTATGATATTACCATATCCATACATTATCGTATTATTGATGTGATATTAACATATGCATGGACATGCCATTGTATATTTACAACAACCTTGTCTGCTGCAAGCTTCATATCAGCAGCCATGTAGTATTTCTTCTGTATCTGTAAGCTTGCAGGATGGCTTGTAATTTCATGCCATTTTAATTGGGCCAAGTGAATTCACTATAACAAAAAAAGATTGTAAAAAATACCTGAAACAGAAAGGAATATTTTAGTGACAATCATTATATTTTTTGGAGAAATAAATCATAGTTTAGGTTAATTACTTTTCATTCTATGTTACCCGGTGCACAATTCTCTCTGTGACATTCTATGCACAATTTTATAATGACCAGTGATGCATTAATTTTTCGTTCTTGAAATTATTTTTGCAGAGCAAGGTAAATGTAATCCAAATTTTTTGTTGTTAATTGATTTTTTTGGTTAACTGGCACCTTTGCTAACTGAGGTTAACTGCTAACTGTATATGCATTTTTAGGGGTGTCCCTTATTACCCTGCCCTGCAGATATGGCCACCATTTTTTTCGCATGAGATGGGCAAATTCCGTCAATTACGTTTGTAAGCCAACACCTGTGTGCAACTTTTCTGTAAGTAAAATTTTTTAATACGGTGAATATTTTGTTGCTACAGACCTTAGCAGAGGTACTTTTCCAAAATCGCACTTTTTACACTTTTTTTTCAGGGATTTTCAAAGGTAGTAGGTAAATGTTTGATGTCTTAACCTAATTTATGCGACATAAATAGTAAAAATGTTGAACTTTATACCACTATTTTTAGTTTTGCAATATTTTGATTAGTTTAACTGCTACAACATTTCTACGAAATATGACCCAACTGTCCCTATTTACCCCGGTCATCCATTATAACCCCGTTTGATGGTATGCTTAAAAAATAACTATGTTGAGAAATAAATGGGCCATATGCTGTTCATTGAAAATAGTATTATCATGTATTAGTGGCTGCACGATTGCACTTGAATGTATCCTGGAGCCCTTTATCTAATATGTATTTGTGCCTGCATAGGTATATCTTTAATGTTCACTGGTGCTGGCAGCATAGGCTTCATCACTCATGATTAAATCACCAGCCTGTGTGGCTATTCAAGTATGCATATCCATGCTCAAGATGTAGGTTTTTGGGTAATTTTTCCATGCAAAATCAGCTTCACAGTGATTGGACATGTAGCCAATGCCATTGTGCAGAGCGTGGCAATTGGGTTGTCAAGAACATGTTTTAGACCAAAAATGTTGCCACATTTGTTGAGGATTTGTAAGCAGAACTACGGAAAACTTCGAGATTTCTTTTCCAAAAATGCATCCAAAGAGGTACCGTATTTGGAGAGGAATGTGGGGAAGCTCTTCTGAAGGCACTGATCATGATGCTGATGTGTGGCTAATGATCTTCAGGTAGTTGATTAATCTCTGCACCCTGTAGCCAGTGGACTGCTCAATTTGCACAGGAGGATCTTCATATCTTCATCTGATCAATTGGTGCAGCCAGTGATGTGGAGCGAGTGGCTCAGTCATTGATGTGCATTCTTGCTATTGCAGTAGTAGCCAGTATTGATTGTCATGTTTACTTGAATTATTCAACAATGATGGACAATTCCGCATGATTTCTCCTTATGTATCTGGTCATGATAATGGTATTCTGTTGTTCTTTATGGTATGCTGCGATCCCTTAGGGCATCACAAGATTAATTGTACAATTTTTTGTTTCAGTTGGTCACCTAGAGCCTTGATTAATTAGCAAACAGTTTGCCTTCCAACAAAAATTGTTAGATTATTTATTCTTTTCAATATTTTTTTTGGGTGAAAACAAAAATGGGTAGCAATTTGAAGTTTCTCTGTGTTTATCCACTGCCATCTGAATTAAATTTAGATGAAATAATTGAATTCTTACAAAATTTTGGTGCAGTGAGTGTCCATCAATTGCAAAAAGGGAAAAGAAATAACAGATATGTTGCTGGGTAAGTACCATCTACACTTCTGTATTGGAATTATAGTTTTAACTTGAGTGAAATTCATTTTTATCTTAAATTGGTTTTCATATCCATATATACCGGTATATAGGTATATGTATAGTATGTACCTATTTAATATCATATTGTTGAAAATTCATGCAACAGTTTGGAACCTGGTATCATGTACACTGTTGTATTTGATCTACTCCTCAGCTGATATGTCTGTAGGAAGTTTTAAATTTGATGTCTTGTTTTAAAGACATTATTGTATACAGTATAAACAACTAGAAACTTCAGAATCATAAAATATACCAGAATATTAATGTTTTGATTACATAAAAAAATTGATTGAATCAGGTACATGATGCTGTTTAGAATAGTTTTATTAGAAACACTCTGTTCCTCTCATACTCACTGGAGTCTCTGATGCTTATTTTGATTAGCAATTTTCTTTTCTTTTAAAAGGTTCTCAAATCTATTTAGCTAAAAGTCAGGCTTAGAAAGATTTATTAGATTTTATTTGTTTGTAAATTACATATGAATTTGCTCCTGAAGTCTACAATGTTCTCATGAAATTCCATGTTTCTGCTGTCTGGTTAACCTGTACTGTATTCTTATGCTCATCCACTCCTGTAAGAATGACATAATTTGCATATTTGCAGGTTTGAAAATGAAGTTGATCGAGACTTTGCCAGGTCTCGTCTTAATCAGCTGAAATTGCTTGGGGTGAAGATGAGTGCTGTTGTTTGGCCCACTCCTCAAGCAGATTCTAGTGAAGAAACACAAACATGGTAAAATTTATAACTTTTTCTTTATTTTGTTACACAAATCATGTTAAGTTCATGTTCACATTTTGATTAATATTTTTGTTAGTGTGGAACATTTGACAGTGCCCTGGTGACAGTGCTCATTAATGTAACTGCCATCAAATTTCATTTCCAGGTTGACTGGAACAAAGTCAAGCTTATTGCAGCTCAGGAGTTTGGATGCTGCATTGCAGTCCAGTCACTTCAATGAACTGCCACTACAACCTCCCTTCCTACAGTGCGTTTCTCAGTAACGGTATTCTCAGCAATTGTAGTTGCTGGTTATGGAACATGAACAATAAGCATGTTTATGTGATCATTTGTAAATTTGTTACTAAACTAAGGTATTTTTTTATGTCTGAAAACATCAAAGGTTGTTTTATTTATAATTTAGAGAATAGAATTTATTGAATTGTTTATGTATAATGGCATAATATTTGATTATGTAAATTCATCATGGAAGTATTATTCATGAATTATTTTATTGCCTGAAGGTAAACCTACCAGTTTTAATACAACTAAGGATGGTATATAACTTCATTTTCTTGTATATACATTTTTTAATTAGTTTTGGCTATGATGCTTGCTTTTTTCCAGATACAGCTATCCTGCCCCCACTGCTGCTGTGCTGAGCAATATTGTCCGCACCATGCTGGCTGTACCTGCGCTCTACACTCAGGTAACGGAGTAGTCACTTGCTCAAGTTGTGTACCTAGCAATGCATTTGTGTTACTCACGTCAAAGTTTTGTCGCTCACGTCGCGCAGTCTTTTCACTTACGTCACTCATATAACCGTAATTTCACTCGCGTCACAGGTGAAGCAATGACGTCACAGTCGTGCCTAACATGATACAGTGTGTCATCCATAATGGCGTGCCGCCCATGTCATAGGTCTGCCATCCATGCCATTCTTGTTACAAGTGTCTCACTTTTGTTACAGGTGTGTCATCTGATGAACAAGATGAACCTGCCTCCTCCATTCGAGGATGCAGTTCAAGGCTCCACATCCTCGCCTCCTGAAAAGAAAGGGGCTGCAAGTTCTGGTCATACCGAGACGTCTGCCGTAACCTGCACACTCGCCCCTGAAGGTTTCACGCCACAAAAGCGACAGAAGCTTCAGGATACTCAACAAGCTCTACACTCAGAACTAGAACGAATAGATGAAGGTGCTCCGGTGTGCATTTTATGCCGGAAGGCCTTTACCAGTAATCTGAAAATTGATCATGATTCAATGTTGCGGGAAAGACGCAGCGGATCTTCGGAGTCTGAGCTGGAATCTGATCTAGACGAGACAGACTCTTCAGCGTTGAGTCACAAGGAGGATATAATCAAAGCCATCAAACGACCCCGACGTTCGCTCGAGGCCCTTGTCAACCCGGGGAAGAAAGCACGGCTTCAACTTGTATCTCATAAGATGGAGTCGTCAAAAAAAGCTCCTGGGTCTCGGGAAGTGTTAGCCAAGAAACATCAACCCAAAGCATTTGGTGGTGCGACGGGTGTGGATTCAACTCGTAAACTCAAGCTCAAGCTTCCGAGTAGCTTGCCAACTCATTTGAAATCTGTCCACGCAGCTCCATCGTCTGCCAACCTCTCCACTGGGTCGTCTGCCAACCTCTCCACTGGGTCGTCTGCCGACCAGTCCACTCTTGTATCTACTGGTTCCTTCACTGGCGCGTCCGCAGAACCGTCTTCTGAACACTCTACTAAATTATCCACTGGAATGTTTGCTGACCTGCCTTTTGGCCTATCTTCTAGCTCTTCAGCTGTTGTTTCAGCTAACTCATCCAACGAAGTTAGCTCTGACCTCTCTGCTAGTTCATCCACTGTTCTTTCCACCGCCTCATCCATTCACCTTTCTACCGCCCCATCCACTGACCTTCCCACTGCACTATGCATTGACATATCCACCGCACCATCTGCTGAAAATTTTAGTATTTCATCTACTGACTTCTCGACTGGCCCGCCGACAGACTCCGACATTACCCTCTCCACCGACCGGTCTAGTAACTCCACTATCGGTCAGGAATTATTCAGCAATGAGAACAGAATGGATTCTAGTGCATCGGAGAATACTGCTGTTCCAGAGCCGGCATTCTCAATGCAAGAACTGCAGAGCAATCGCATCAAGGAATCGGGTATGTTGCTAGCACGCAAGTTGAGGCAACATGTCACATTAAAGTTAATTTTCTCGATCATATAGTAAGCATTAAGTTGCCATACATATAACAGCGGTAATCAAACGAGTTGGCTTATTATCGAATCTGGAATTGATGGGCGTTATTGAGCTTGAGTTAACTCATCGATATAGTTTGCTATGAAATCGAAATCTATTCAGAAACCATTGGACATATTTGTCGTACGAATGTGAGGTGAGATTAGTAAGGCTGATTTATTTTTATTTCTAAAAGTATGTGTCTAAAGACAGACGATGTGAGTTTATTATTGTTAGAGTAGTTTCATCATTAGATTTTCCGCGATACAAAATTTTATTTTATTCTATCTTAACCTTTGTATTATTTCTATTGATGTTATTATCTCAAAGCAAGAGCACGTAACAGCTCGGGTGAAAGGAAATTCTGGCCTCAATCACATTGACTGATATTTACCATTAGGCTAAATAATTTTACTGATCAATAAATCAGACTAGTTTGTCTCGGAAAAATTGTTCCAACGTTTTATTGAGTCGAAAAGACTTGAGCAATCCGAGGCATACAAATATGAATCGCATAAATGCCCAGTTACCTGAAATAATACCAAGTAACTGTTTCAAGATACTTGATTTCCTGCCCAAGTTTAGCATGTGACAATTAATAACAGAGGGAAAAGTTCAGAGCAACAACTAAAGTTGAAATACGTACGAGGAAGTGAATTCGAATTATATAAGCAATGCTCAGGACCTTGCGTATTGGTTGGTACATTAAGACTTAGAACATTTTGAACAAAAAATAAACAAAATAAAATCTTGTTGACAAAATAAAATCTTGTTGCCATCTCGATACCACGTGATAATGTGATGGCAGAGAAGACTAGATGCAATGTCTGTAAATCAGAACGCTGCGAGAGCGTCAGCTAGCACAGTCAGATGTTGGGGGTCGACTGGTTCTATGTGCCCTGCCTAGCCTCTTCAGACTGCCGTATTTTATTCATATTGTTTTTATCATCCTCCTCCGGTACAGAGTTCGCCGTAGTGCCTGCACTGGCCCGCTATGCGCCCGGCGTGCCGTCCTCCAGACTGTACATCAAGAACTTGGCACGGCGCGTGACGGCAGCCGCGCTGCATCGCGTCTACGATGGTTTCGTCAGCCCCGAGCATGCGGCCGACCCTGCCATGTGAGTTGCTCTGAGACGCCTGTGGCGTGTAGGTTTGAGACGCCCGTTGTGCGTCACTTCAAGAAGCGCGTGATGTGTCGGTTTGAGACGCCTGTGGTGAGTCACTTCAAGAAGCGCGTGATCTGTCGGTTTGAGTCGCTGGCGAGGCCATTTAAATGAATTATGTTTGTTTATTTTAGTACAAGTATTTTTCATCGCATCGACCCTCACCCAAACACATCCTACGTGCGTGTTGCTACACTGCGTGTGTTGCAGGTACCACATCTACTCGCTGTGCTGCAGGTATCACATCTTACTCGTTGTGTTGCAAGAACCACATACCACCTGCTGTGTTGCAGGTACCACATACCACTCCATGTGTTGCAGGTACCACATACCTATCACTGTGTTGCAGGTACCACATACCACTCCATGTGTTGCAGGTACCACATACCTGTCACTGTGTTGCAGGTACCACATACCACTCCATGTATTGCAGGTTCCACATACCAGCCACTGTGTTGCAGGTACCACATACCAGTAACTATGTTGCAGGTACCACATACCACTCACTGTGACACTGTGTTGCAGGTACCACATACCACTCCATGTATTGCAGGTACCATTTACCACTCACTGTGTTGCAGGTACCACATCCGCGTGCTGCAGGAGGGGCGCATGAAGGGGCAGGCGTTCGTGACGTTGCCGTCGGTCGCCGTCGCTGAGCGCGCGCTGCGCCTCACCAACGGCTTCATCCTCTGCGACAAACCCATGGTCGTGTGCTTCGCCAGGACCCAAGCCGCGGCCTAGCATGCAGCATAAGAGGACAGGCGCGGGTCATTCACGTGACCCATCCCAGGACCCAAGCCGCGGCCTAGCATGTGCCTAGCATGCAGCATAAGAGGACAGGCGCGGGCCATTCGCGTGACCCATCCCAGGACCCAAGCCGCTGCCTAGCATGCGGCATAACAAGACAAGGATTTGGTCAATCCCGTGATTTGCTCTAGTAAATGGTCATGTAGCGCTAGGAGAGCCTTATCAGCAGAATATTTTCTTAATGATTTAACTAATCACGAATTCTGATCTCATAGCCCTTAGTATACAATCATAAATTTCCTGTATAAGTTCAGAAGTTCAAAATTTTCTCTTGGCAAAATTGATTTGGTTCATCGACTACATTTGCGATGAATTACTCATCAGGAGACTCGTTGATGTTATGGTGTATTTTTTTCTATGATGAACTGTGGACAAAATTTGTACGAAATATATATTATTTCGTCTGGTCATAATCTTTATCTAACCGGGAATAATTTTCTGAAAACCGATGCTGCGTAAATTATTTATATGCTGCAATGAAGCTCGTCAGGTTTTTAATTTTGTTATTAATATATAAGACCAGGATCATCTTGTGTGATCTATACAACTCTAGGATCGTCGTGTGTGATCTATACAACTAGGGATCATCTTGTGTGATCAATACAACTCTAGGATCGTCGTGTGTGATCTATACAACTCTGGGATCATCTTGTGTGATCTATACAACTTTAGGATCGTCGTGTGTGATCTATACAACTCTAGGATCGTCGTGTGTGATCTATACAACTCAGGGATCATCTTGTGTGATCTATACAACTTTAGGATCGTCGTGTGTGACCTATACAACTCTGGGATCGTCGTGTTTGATCTATACAACTCTGGGATCGTCGTGTGTGATCTATACAACTCAGCGATCGTCGTGTGTGATCTATACAACTCTGGGATCGTCGTGTGTGATCTATACAACTCTGGGATCATCGTGTGTGATCTATACAACTCAGTGATCGTCGTGTGTGATCTATACAACTCTGCGATCGTCGTGTGTGATCTATACAACTCAGTGATCATCGTGTGTGACCAAGAAAATTCCTGAAACTTTTCACCAATCTTTTTGAAGTTCTCTTATTGACGAAAAAATTATGAAAATTTCGGCAATAATTCTTTGTTGACTTGAAGTTTCAAGATCTATTGGGTGCAAACCATAGAAATTCATCACTAAATCAACAGTTCCCTCGTATTCACAGGCTTTAATTGCAAGTTACGAGCTCTTTGTGCTATCTTATTTATTACAAAGGCTACAAATTTGTTACTCATCGACACATTAACAATAGCAGTCAAAACGCATGAAATCTACAGACTAAAAAGCTCATTTCTTAATGCACTAGGAAAATCAATTTATGTATGAAAGATAACTCGATCAAGTTCAGAGCATGTTAGCTTTCTAACTAGATGCCACTGAGGCTCGCTGAAATAATTGAAATGACTCTAGCTTCCATTGTTCCATTGTAGTGGTCATTCGTGTTGGTTGACTGGAGGTTGAATAAACATTGAGGATTGCAATCAATAAAATCAATCATCCATGCCAACGTTGGACATACGTGCTTGTTTGCAAGACGCTCTAGAAGTGATATAGCTGCATTGAAAGTTATTTAATCGATGAATTAATTCAGAGACTGTGTGAACGTCTTAGAGATCAGTATTGTTATCAGAACATCAGGGCTGAAGAACACGCAAGGTGCGCGGCCGGTGACTGGACAAGTGAATTTCATTTGAAAATTCCAACTACAAAGAGGTTTTAACGTTTCCTATCACTTATTTTTCTTCTAATTAAGCAAATCAAGTCATCTACAGATAATAGAGTTCCTTAATTCACACCGTCTGCAGAGCACTTAGTTATCCAATTTACACCATCCACAGACCACCTAATTTCCCTATCTACACCACCTACAGACCACCTAGTCCCTAATATACACCATCAATGGACTGCTGAATTTAATCTTGCAGCCAATAAGAAAAAGTACTTGAAATGGAGCTGGTAAAGAATTATACAATGAAGAAGTGGATGATCTGGCAGTTCCGTTTCCTTCGAATATTAGGACTTGCTCCCTTTGCTTGGGTTAATGGCAAGTACAGAACTTCTCAAGTGTATCTGGGTTTCAGCGTATCATTACAAATCTTTTTAACCATCTTATCAATGTCTGAAATAATTAAATCTTTCTACAACGCCTCTCATCCGCAACTCCTCTCATCCTCATCCAACATCTACAACGTGATACAGATTACCTGGGGCCCAGCTCACCACTTCTTTACGATGATTATTGCTTGGCATTTCCTGCTGTCTCGGAATCGTGTTCTGAAAATTGTACAATTCTTTCGAAGCTCCAGCTGTAGCTTACTTGCTGTTGATTACTCTCAACATTTATTGGCTTTACTGATAGCCATAATTACGGGTTACACAGCGGATTCAACGTTCCAACTCTCTGGATGTTACGAGAAGTCCCGCACAGATAATATCAGCTGCATTTTATACGTCGTTGGTTGGTGCGTGAAATTTGTGTCAGGCTTGGTCCTCTCGTTTTGTTTTAACTCCTCGATGAAGACTCTGTCGTTGGAATTGAAAAATGTCGTAGTAAAAATTGTTCATGAAAGTCATCCCGTCAAGTATCAGTTATCCGCGATGAAGATAGCTGACGTCATTCCAAGCAGTCTGCCTGAAATGAAGAAAAAAGTGGCAGTCATGAGGCGAACAATTTACAACATTCATCATTCGTTCTCCGTCGTTGCGTTCGGAATTTTAGCTTACGAGCAACTGGAAATGGTATTGGTTGTTCTGCACGCTATTTTCTTCGCTCACTCAAAGGTTCCTCACGTGCAGACGTTTCTCATCACAGTGGCAGCATCTGTCCCTTTGTGGCTTGTGCTCGACTCGCAGACCGCCTATATAAAAACGGTGAGTGCCGCCTCTCTTCAATCATGTTTCTGCATTTCAGGCAGCAACTGTACTGTTGTTGCGGGAGATCAAAGTCCGTCCTATCGCAAATAGTTATGAGCTCGTAACTTTGTCAGCCCATAACTGACTTTCCAAGCTAAACCCACCAATCACAGGCGGGAAATAGGACGTTACATGTACTTAGGCCGCTACGTGTACTTTACCCTCTACCGCCGGATATAAGTAAAGGGCAATATTGTCAGAAGACTACTTCCCAAAAAGGATACGTTCTACTAAGCGCAAAATGACTTGCACTGATGGTTGCCGCCACATACAACTAAAATGTTCTCTGTTGTGTACAAACGTCCTCAGGTTGCTACACTCAATAGTTAACGCATAATTTAGGTTGAAATTTATGTTTTCGGTGAGTGACATACGGCGCTAGAAGGTTACGTGAGTTTTGACAGTGCGGCATTACGTCTTGACTAATTTTTAACCAAAAGCTGTCACAAATGAGCTGCTACGACTAACTAATTTCCATAACCTGACTTCTACTCACGGGTTGCCTTATAATGCGTTACAAATGCAAGATTTACATTCAAAGTAGTCAAAGATGACTTCCATAGTATAGTTCAGAGTTTTTTCTAAAACCATGCATTATAATTCGTGACCTAATCGCATTTGTTGTTGATTGGTGAATGAGCTCATTGTAGCTGCACGCAGCGGCAGACACATCAGCTGCATTTGGTTACAATCGTATTAATATATGTACATGTATGTAGCCAATCTTAGTCAATGTACGAGTATATAATTATTTCCGCGACATGAATGCTGTAAAATAATGAAAACCTAACTTAATGGAAGAGGGGAAAGAGTAGCTTCACCTTAATGAATGAGGTATTTCTAGAATATTCTCATAGATTTTGAGTCATACGCCGCGAAACCTCACTCAATTCTATCGGAAGGACCTAGCTCTTCATTTCCTAATGTTGGGCTGGTTAACGCTCAAAAATTTATTGAAACATCATCTTCCCTTTAGAATAGCGCAATTATTGTCTATTCCCAAACGGTTCAGCACGTGCCAGAGTTCAGATCATTACACGTCTATAGACTGAACATCGTCCGATGTGTGCTATGTAGATTGTTGTTTTGCCTGTTGATTGAACGCTGCGCTAAGCACACGAAACAATTGAGTGGTCGACCGCCTCCTGAATAAGTGATGTCTGTACATACTATGTGTGTCGGCGGGACTGGAGACACAAATTCTATTATAGTGGTTCTTAAGAGCTTTGATGCTTCGGGACTTCTATTTGACTCGTCGCACAAAGATTAACCAGTTAAACGAAAAGTCTTCTTCTGAATTTTCTTTTATACATATGTACAATCACTCATTTTTTAGATCAAATCAAACATTTCTGCGAGAATTAATAAGATCAACGATCACATTTGGCAAGGCTCGTTCACTCTCATCCACTAATCCACCAGCCCTCGCTCCATGGAAAAGCGCTGATAATTCTTGTCTATTTACTCTATTAGGCATGGTGTTATCTTGATTTCGTCGTTCCAAACTACGTTTTGAAGATGAGCAGCGAATAGACGTAAATAAGGTCAAAAGAATTTCATCTCGGCAAGTGAATCATTAATATTGAATAGGTGTTTTGTGATATCATAAACATGAATAATAAGAATTTGCTTCATGCGCAAATTTATTTTCTTAGACTTATTGGTCTATCGCCATATGAACGCAATGGTCGAAATTATCAGCTTTCCCAAGCAAAACTAGGCTTCAGCATCATCTTCAACATCTTGTTGGCCGTAATGACTCTTACGAGAGTTTCGTCCATTGGTACAAAGAAAACTGACAACATTTATGACACATTGAAACTTGCCTGGGTTTCAGCAAGGTGGTCGATGACACTAGCCATTAGATGGGCCTTCCTTTTTCATGCTGTCGACATTGTAAAATTCTTAAATATATTGAGCAGTATCAAAGAAACTTGTTTGAATATTAATCGAAAAACTTACACTTTGATTGCGTTATTGCTGACAGTGGTCGTACACCAGAACTACAGGTATTACATATTTCATCGTAAAGAAACGAATCAGAACTTGGATGGCATTTCGGAGCAGTGGTTGGGCTCTAGTTTCCTTGGACGCTTGTCCGTGTGCATCATTTCTAATCTCTTCTTATGGCCTTATTTGACTCTACCACTCTTCCTGTACACATTGATGATTCAAGCAACATCGCTTCTGCATCAAGCTCTTGAGAAGCTTAACGAAACTTCCGACGCGAAAGATCTATCGGCAATCATGAAAAAAGTCAGAAACTATGTTTTAAAAGTTAAACGATCGATCGAACTGATACATAAAAGCTTCATGGAAATAACTCTCCTCATCCTGGCTTACGTTCAACTGGAATTAGTCATGATTGTTCTGTATGCTATGTATGATTCTTCGTCCTTGTATGCGGAGGAATCGTTCTTCGTATTATTGCCTACTTTCTTAGAACTCTGGCTCTTCCTCAACTGCCAGTCTGGGTATATATACGCGGTGGGTGTCTCAGAATGTTTAAAATTTTCGATCGTAAAATGGTGAAGCAATGCAAACACATTTATGTAGAAAAACATAATGGATATATTAAAATGTTTAGTCGTACCGAATCTAGGAAGTATTACCCCTGCGTAGGTAATATGAGACTCGCAGGACATCAGTTTTGGATGACCGTTTTTGACCAGAGGCTTTTTTTTTGTTGCAGTGCGAAGATGGCATCCATCGCGTCAAAAAGCTCATCGCTGAGGTCGGCCTAAAAGGGTCGGAGCACGTGCAGGTCAGAAATTTGTTATTAATTCACTGATGCATAGATTAGGGAAATTGCAACTTCCATTTCAATAAACCATTTTATTTTTTTTGCTTCCTAATGATTCTATGGTTTCTGATTTCACTGAGGTTTGATTTACTGTAGCAATAATTTTAGTACCTAATTAGGTCGTTGAACACAATAGGTCAAGGTATAAAATAATTTTTCATTTCATGGTAATGATAATGAATCAGTACGCAAAAAATCTTCCAATTTACCCTCTAAATTAATGAAATGCATCTCAAGAATTTATTATTAATCCTGTCATCTCCGCTTTCTTTTATTTGACATTTGGTTTAACTAAATATTATTCGGGAACCAACGAGTCAGTGATAAATGAATTTGGTTTCTCATAAAAAAAAATATATATTTTTTTAAAGCCACAACCGCAGAAAGATATAATGTGGCGTCTATTGTATGTAAATGTTGCGTCCTATGACTTTATAAAATATAATGCAAATCTTGAAATGGTATTATAAATTTATGTATTGATAAAAGTCAAATGCATTCACATTCAACGATTTTTCAGAATTTATGAAGTTCCGCGCAATAACCCTAGTGATTTTTTCAATGTTTAGTCGTCCCTCACAAGGGAAAAAATTATTGTGACGACTGTTGGGTTGGATTTATGAGGCTGAAGACAATCAAAATATCTATCAGTATGGCTGAAAAAATGAAACTTTTTTCTTGCATGCATCTCTGATGTTCAAGCCAACTTGCCATAAAGAAAGTCACATGAATTGGGAAAAATTTAGTTGTCATTTATTTTGCCAGTGGTTAAAAAATTTGGAACAAAGCGTTAATGTAATTGATGCGTTCCTCTATTTATGGAATGGAATTATCAGGCCGCTAAAGAATTGGTTCCGTCCAGGCTGATAACGTTGGAACAACGTTGATTACGAGTTGATTTCATTGAAACAACTTTGAATCAATGTTATTGTAACGTCAACTGCCTGATGAACTCAAGCTCACTAAAGATAAAAATGAATTTTTATTCTTAGTGGATAGAGAATTACAAATGCGGCATTTCCAGCTATAATAATAACCTGCATACTACAGGAAGTGTGGCATCTGCGCGGCATCCAGGCTGAGCTGGAGCGCATGCCTCGCTTCACGATCTTTGGGCTCTTCGAGCTGGGCCGACACTGCCTCCTGTCGGTGAGTGTTGTGTGTTGCCTTCTGTCGGTGAGTGTTGTGTGCCACAGACGCTCTTCGAGCTGGGCCGACACTGCCTCCTGTCGGTGAGTGTTGTGTGCCACAGTCACTCTTCGAGCTTGGCCGACGCTCTACTGTCCGTGTTTTATACAACAATTTCTCCTTGCATGTATTTTCCATTATTAAATACCTTACATTAGGCATTCGATAATAGAAAGTTGATTGATATGCGAATTCTAAAACAAAGTGATCAACTAGTCTGTAGTGGGCACTGGGCTACGTATGAGCTAAAGCTGAAATCGTGCTGCCAAGTCTGATCACTCACTCAGTCTTTCTTCCAGATGGGATCAATCGTGTTAACGTACGTCATCATCGCTATTCAGTTCACAACTAGCAACAACCCCGTCACATGCAAGCCATTTAACTTCACCGACGGGTCAACATCAGCCTAGAGCGCGTCCTCGAAATTAAAAATCATTAATTCAGCAGAACATTATAATCATAAGCAAGCTTGTAATAATTTGCGGTCATCACAGCAGGTTGTCCGGCCGGTCTCGGCACGTGCAAAAAAAATTGCTAGGGAACGAATGGGATCACAGATACAATATTAATGAAGTCAGCGATATCGACGCTTCTCGGGGCGGTTTTGAGGGCTGAGTAGAAGCTTAACCAGGTTTGGGAGGTATTGCCCAGCTGTTGTCATGAGTTCGATGAATCGTTTATTCCAAAAATCAAGAAATGTGTGCTTACGTTTCTGAGCTGTACCTAATAATTAAGTTTGTGTACTGTGGCCCAAGATAGTCTCAAATAACATAAATTTATGTCACCCCGATTGGAGTGGTAACATTCTGACTCGTTTTTTTTCTATTGCAAGTAAAACCGCTGCCAAATTGAATCCTTTTCCTTCCATCATAAAAACGCACAAACGCAAATACCTGTGAATTTAAGATCTATTAGTTGAAACCCCCGATTATTAGAGAACTTTATTACATTTTGCATTCTTTCTTCGACAGAGTGACCCAGATTTAAACACCTCACTTTTCATTACGCATATAACGTTAGCTATAGGCTATTGGATAATCACTAGCTGATGAGCATTAGCGGAGGTGCATCACAAAATAGAATATAGTTTATAAAAAATGATAAATGGTTTTTCTATGATAACAGCCACTATTTCACAAATTATTTTTGAATGTGATGTATGTCAATACAGTCTGTTTGAGGCACTATATTTGCTTAACGATCTATTAATGGGTCATATGTGTTCGTTTCTTGTAATTCAAGGCCACTTGAATATATGAATGTCTGAAGGCAGCATATTGAATGGTGATTACTGTTATGCCAGGGTTGATGCGGCTATGGATCACGAGAACTTACTTTTTGAGCTGTACCTTATAATTAAATTTGTGTAAGGCGGCCCAAGAAAGTCTTAAATAACATAACAAATGTCACCCCGATTGCAGTGGTAACATTCTAACTCGTTTTTTTCTATTGCAAGTAAAACTGCTACCGGTGGCAGAGTGGCCCAGTGGTTAAAGTTCAGAGTACCAAGATTGGCACAGAGAGGCGCGGGTTCAAACCCAGCTCCGTGCGCCAGTTTCCGGTCAGAATCGGCAAGGAGGCCGGGCGGTTAAGCACAGCAGAATTGTAGCAGTGAGTTGCGAGTTCGAGCCCGCAACAAGCTGTGGATGTTCTACGATGTTAAGAATCGGCGACAGGCCTAGGGCCTTCTAAACGCTGAAACCGCTATTACCTTATCGTAGTAACTTATTACCTTAACCTATTGTGGGGTTAATGAACTCTTTAAACTCGTAGGTAACTAGCGGCGTTATTCAAGGTATTTTCTTCTATGTGCCCTTGCGACGATTTTTATTAAACAAACACTCACTAACAGCAAGACTGAACTACTTGTCAATCTGAATTTTTTTATCCCTGCACAGTATAGAGTTTGGCAAACATTTTCTTTCGTTATTGTGTGGAGCGTGAAAAATATAGTGATTCAGTACCTAAGCATTAAATTGATTGACACTGTCGAAGTCCACTTAACTTGACTTGACGTTGCATAAAATACGAAGTTATTTCAATAACGAGGAAAATGACCAGCTCGTGATAAAAATTCAATCCGCGGAGGCAAATTTTATTGACCCATTAAGGGCTAAAGTTATACGACTTTTCCTTTCATTTCATTCGCAAGGAACACTTCAAGAGGGAGAGAAGTGTACGACACTCGGGGACTCAGACGTTTAAAATGGCTAACACGATACCAAGTCTACGTACTTTACTTATCTTTCATTTTCACGTGATGAGGGCAACAGCGATGGCTCCATTTTCGCTCTCGAGCGGAAGGCCAAAACTAAGCCAAGTGCATATTGGAGCAAGCATTGTTTTTCAAATCGTTCTCACTACTTGGAAGTTCATACAAACTTATCCATCGTTGAAAATAAACAAGTGGGTCGTGATAGAAGTTGCTCCGAAAGCCTACGGACTCGCGTTCTTCGTTCTAATACTAGTGATTCGTTTGAGCTTGCTGGCGTCGTCACGACGATTCATCAAAGTATTACGTTATGTGGTTACCAAATCAGCTGTTGCAACCCGAATTAGCGTTAGCACTAGCGGATTCCTCATTATAAACACAGTAACAACAGTTTATTGTGTTTACTTCAGTACCTTTAGTCACGTTGAGAAAAACGCGATTGTCTATTTCGGCATGATAATGGAAATTCCTTATTTCCTCACTTTACGTGTGGTGAGTCTTGGCTTCAATGTAGCCATGCAGTACGTGGCTTTGGATCTTAAAGTGCAAATACGAGAGATTGTGGCTTTTTACTCTAACAACTACCCCTCGACTTCAACCTCTGGCGTATGTCATCGTGTGCTGCTGGGAAATGAAAGCGTTTTTAACCAATTCAAGCAAAGATGACTGCGTACCATAAGGTTCGCGCTGCAAGACCTTCACGCTGCCTTCAATCTTCCAGTGCTCATGTTCCTGGTGTATGAACCTCTCGAGCTGCTCGTCCTCATTCTATATGCATCGTACGTGGGAAATACTCAAATTTTTATCCGCCTTCTGTTGTTCATCCTTCCAGGCCTGGTGCACATCTGGTTGATACTCGACTCCCAAACGAGCTACATACGAAGGGTTCGTCAATAAACTCCAATATTGCTTGATTGTTAAGTGAAAATGGGTTTCTTTTCCAGAGCAATAGAGATATGCTTCAATAGTTATCGAGTTATTGCGTAGGAGTTTGGCGGCCATTTGTACAATTATCACAATTATCAATTTGTTTTATTTTTCTATAAATTATATCAGCCGCAGTTGACCATGACCATTTTAGAAATAAACAAAACGATGACAGTTAAAAATAAGTTAAAATACTAAGTCAAGTTAATTAAAAATTTAGAAGCTCATCTGACCGGCAATTTATGATCAGGAATATAACTTAAATGCCATAAATAAGTTGATGTTACGTAAATATATGTTTAAATAAATAATTCTTAACCAGTGACTGTCATCTAGTTATTTTGTGTTTGTCTACCTTGCAAATCAGTTAAAAACTTGCATTTCAGAAATTTGTTTTTGGTTTAGAAGGCAGTGATTCTTATATGAAGAATATAAAGCCGAATATAATATTTTACGGTCTATCTTCATGCTTTTCATTTACTAGATTTCTTCAAAATTTAAACAAATAAATTATTTGTAACATCCTCACTCCTCAATTAGTGCCTCTAGGCTTTGAAGCTCGTGGGACTCTTATGATTATTTGACTCCATCTGTTCATCATAATTGAGATAAAAGACGGAACAATAAAAATGTTATTTTTCAAAGGCCCATCCTTACACTGAATACAATACAGAGACTTAAAAATATGCATAAAGCAATAAAATGCAATATTGAGTATTAAATTTTACTTTAAATCTCCCAAGAGTATATAGTTGACATTGATTTAATTTTAACTCTATATGCGTAAGAATATAATTGATTGACTTCCTCCCAAGACGAAGGGTTTACAAAAGACAGTTTCGCAACACTTTTAATCCAATGTACAACTGAATTGGTGCCAAAGGTAAACCCCGCCATACGGATTTATTTTTAATTTTATTGCGAAAAAATTTCAGATGCAGTTATTGTATTTATTAAAGCTGCTCGGAAGTCGGCTTCCTTTTCATTGACCGTTGCTCAGTGCTTATATTAATTGCTGTTGTAGCAGTGAAATTTTTAGCCCAAATGACTGGAAAATTCTCTCAGTACTGGGTTGCTATAGATTATAGAATTATAAGTAGTAAACATTAATTGTCAGGTAAAAGGCATTGCGATTTTCAAATCAAAGGCCAAGCGAAATGATATCGAAAAAATGGGATGCTACGAAATATGCTTCGGAGAAATAATGATGACTGTCATTGTAATATATTTCAAATATTTTTATCGAATCAGTTTGAACTTGATGAATCACTGCATGGACTTCTTTATACGATAACAAATTTAGATTCAGTAATCTTTGTGTAGGAAGACGTTGTGTTTTGTCATACTTTTGAAACAGAAATGAATATACATAGGTAGATAATAAAAATATGTAGGGAGGCTTAATCTTTGTTTGGTTGCAGTGCGAAGACGCAGTACATCTTATCAAGAAACTCATCACAGAGGTGGGCGAGGAGGAACAATGTCGGAGAAAGGTGATTGGTCCTGTGATCACTTGATTCGTTTAATTGATAATACTAATGCATTATCGCAGAATTCTTAACGTCGGGAGAATTTGTAATAATAATCACGATTCACAGTCTTAACAAGATTTTCTAAAAAAGTTTAAAAATGTACCGATATTTTGGTAAAACGGCCTGAAATACCCCGTAAAAATATATTATAAAAATATTTTCATCAACATTATTCGAAATGAATGCAATAATACATAGAAAAACCGTATCAAAAGAAAAATGCGATATGGAATTTAGTGTCGAACGTAAGCGCCTTCCGCTCATTTAAGGTAAAACTAGACGCATTAAAATATTTGATCAAAATTTGAAATATTGATCGAAAAGGTCACTATTTCCAGTAGAGCTCAATATTAGTTTCCAATGATCTTCGACCATAGCTGATGCTTATGGGAACTGTCTAAAGTCATTGAACCAATCATTCAGCTAATCGCAGTCTTTCGAACTGTAGGAAGTACAACATCTGCGAGGCATTCAGGTTGAACTGGAGCGCATGCCTCGCTTCACGATTTTCGGACTCTTCGAGCTGGGCCGACACTGCCTCCTGTCGGTGAGTGTTGTGTGCCACAGCCACTCTTCGAGCTGGGCCGACACTGCCTCCTGTCGGTGAGTGTTGTGTGCCACAG